GGAAATGGAACAATATCTGGTAACCCAGTGAAAGTACCTCCCGACTATTTCTATCTCAAAAGCGTAGATAGAGGATTGACTAGATAAAGCATTCGCGTATGCTTTTGAGATAGAAATAGGCGGGAGGTACTTTCCCTGGGTTACCAGATATTATTCCATTTCCCCCAATCTGGGTTTATTTATATTCACAGCACTTAATTCATACAACTTATTTGTTAACACAAAAAAATGTTCTTTTATAATTCAGATGATTAATTCATTTATCTTGAAAATACATTCTGTTACTAAAAACTACGGGCGGCAACGACGTAAAAACAGAATCATCATTCCGAATTCAATGGCGCATCGACGACTTCACTCGACATTTAATAAACTCTTTGGATTTCGACGGCACTAAGTGAAAACGCTACTAGCATAAAGTGTGATATCGCTAATAAGTAGGAGTATGTAATATTAGGTAATTAATTATCAAAACTTTCCTCGTGTCGAATTTTATGTTGTTAAAATTCAATAATGTTTTAACATACGAGTCCATCACAAGTTCAGTGCTGAACACAGACCTCCGAAAGGAAAAGGTTTCCACTTAGGTTTTGTAGTACAAAACACGGTTCTGAGCCAACTTCCGCGATTTCCTGCATGTCTTACTAAGGTTAGTGGCTTGTGTGCAGCAAGTTGTGGCATACAAGAGAACTTGTCTATACACGGGATGATACTACCCCGCGTCGTAAGCAATAATACAAGATGGGGATGGGGCAGCAGCACTTTCCTGATGAAAACTTAAAATAAACACAAGAATAAAACTAAGAAGATTAACGGCAGCATTTTCCTGATGAACAGCTAAATATAAAAAAAGCAGTGGTTGCCAAACCGCTTGCCAAGCGCTGCAACTATGGCAAATAACTATGTTCATGTTTATGTTCAGCAGTGGACTTTAGATAGACTGTAAAGGAAAAAGGACTAAATTTTGTGTACTTACACATAATTCAGAAATATTAACAATGTTACATTAAGTAAAACAAATGCCTTGTATATAATATATTTTAGTGGTATAAAAATAATAAGGTACAACTCCTAAACTATACTTAGATAGGTAATACCTATCTCTTGTCAAAAACATCTTTATTACAATATTTATGTCAATTAAATGGAAATTATTATTAATAAATTATTTATTTCTTAATTGATTTCCACATAATTGTTTATAACACCTTTATAAAAAGGATTAAGGGGGGACTAAATATCTCATTGGTAGGCATTTCCAGTCAGTTTTACAATTATTATTGCATAATAAATTATTCATTTGCATATTTAAGTCAGGACTTAAAATTATTTATTTATTATTTTATTTAAATCTTAACTTGCATAAAACATGGTAGTACAGATAAAGTTCCTACATTTGTAAATGAGAATTTATGTTTAATTAATCTATCTATAATTAAATATTTTGTCATTTTCATGCCATCAAATTACACAAAGAAAATTAATATAAATTACAATAAAATTATTACAAGTCATAATAATACAGAATGATAACAGAGAAATTTTAAAATAAAAAGTCAAGAACCATAAATAAATTAAGCAATGCTATTCAATTTTTAATACATACAGAACAATGTCAAAAATCATAATTACCAACAAGGTCAAACTTATATCACTTATGGGGAAACAACAAGACACAACAATAAATTATAACATTTTAAATATTTTATCTTAATTATATTATAAATTACATAAATTAAGCATATTTAGTCCGCCTGAAACAATGAGGCTGAAAATGTTTTGAGCATACACTGCTAAGTTTTGTTGGTTATCTATAATCATCAACAGTAGCGATTATCCAGCAATTACGGATAGCTGATTCTTTAGGAAAGCTGTAAATAATATATTGAAAAGAAATTAATATATTAAATATATAGTACACTTTTATATCAAAGTATTTAAAAAAAATTCAAGTATGAGTATTTGTGCATAAATACAATACCTATAACAATTAATACAATATCAATTGATTTAATTAAATAGCAGGTATATGTAAATGTAATTATAATATTATTCATAACAAACATTTAAAAGAAATGTACATATTAAGCTTTAGATATTGTTAATTAATACATTTACAGCCTAACAAATGTCCTCCACAGCTGAACATAGACCTCCTACATAGTTTGTCTGCAAAATAACTGCAGTTGCCAGTCCTCCTGCCAAGCTAGACAACAATCATAAAACCTATAACTTTTGACTTTTGATAATGACTAATAGTAACGGTAAATATATTATCATCAAATTTTTTCTACATCATTAATTGAGAATATTATCTTATGTTGTTGTGTTATTGTGTACCTTAAGATTAAGACTTATTTATTTATTTATTATTTTATCTATTTATGTATGACATATTTAGTTATTTTTTTAATAACTATTGTAATGTAATTGTTGCTAATGTGTGATAGAATTAATGGAATACAATAAAGTTTTGTACCTGTGATTTCAGGCAATACATATTTTGTAAAATTAAATATACTTTGTCCAATACTTATGTACTTGAACCCAAACATGCTTTCAGGTTGATAATTACATATTATTTGTGACATCTTTTAATATAGAAAATGATTGAAGAGTTGTATATTATTGCCCAATAAGGAGAGTTTCCTTTAAAGCTGAACATAAAAGTGTATGCATATGTATAACATTATGTGATTCATATTTATGTACATAACTACTAATCACAATAATAATTATTATTGAACAATGGGAAAACATTATTGTACTCGATGATATCCCTAAAGTTTCCATAATCCTACCAAGTCAAAAAGTACACGTTTGTTATGACTTTAAGCTTTGAAATGACCATTCAAATTAAGGAGCATTATCATGAAGAATATACAATTTGGGAGTCGAAATATTTGAATTTTGAAAAAATTCATTAAAAACATGAAATGTTACACTTTATATTCAAAACAACAGATATTAATCAGTACAAATAGCAAATAATGTAAGCACAAAACAAATTTACCGATGAAAGGTAATATTATCAATTTTTCGTTGACTGATGCTATTGCATCCTAAAATGCTACAACTTACCATCTTTTCACCTTACTTAATAACTAAAACCCACGAAAAACACTGAATTCAATTACCGGTTTGCTTATAATATTAATGATAATCACAAACGCTTGACATCGTTAATGTCAAATAAAGGAGGGAAAACAATCAAAAACGTATACTTAGAAAAAGACAAGAAATATTGTTTTGCTTCTCCCTTACTCTTATGTCTAACTATATACGTGCATTCCTTTCACACGCAGATGACGTCACTGAATGTATAGTCTATAAGATACTATGTCTATGCTCAAAAGCATACGCGAATGCTTTATCTAGTCAATCCTCTATCTACGGCATAATATGCAGTGCATAGATTACTTTATTTTTTTTATAACTGGCTTTACGGCTCTGGGTTCTAGCCCTTCTGAGCCTGTAGATTACTGTATATATACCACAGACTAATATGATTGATATATACGGACTGCCACAGATAGCTGTACGGAGCCTAGTACTAGACTAACTAGTAGATTCTACCTGAATGATGGAGTTTGCGGGTGATTACATTGCGACGGAGCATGCACTCTTGCGCGAATATATATATAATTTCGGGGAAAAATTATATTTTCGCTTATAAAACAGGAAATAAAAATAAAACTCTCAATATAAAATATTATTATTTTTAAGACCTTTTTTTTCTAGTGTAAGAACTATTTAAAAAGCTTGTGCCATTTTGGAGAAATTTTGCTAAATATGACAAAGATTCTCTTTGGGGAATTTTTTTCTAATAAGGAGTTGACAAAAATACAATTTTGTTCAATTAGAAACATTAACTAAATCCTCTTCTGTTACCCTGTATTTTTTTTGTGGACTAAATGAACAGTTATTGTGATTTTTTTACTTAAATATCCAAGAATTTAGGCATTTCAAGCGCAGTTAAGGCCTTAAGTAATGACATCCAAACAATTCAAAGTGGGATAAGTTATCCCGGATAACCATTGAGTTATATGTACTACGTACGTAGTAGATGTAACTCAATATATCGATATTTATCACGCGATATATATCGATACCGTTAAAAATATCGATTGGACATGTATCGATACATTTTTTTCACATGCGAATCCCTAATCTCAAGTCAAAGTACAATTAAAGTACGTGGTAGAGTCATGCTGCAGTTACATTACTGGTATAGTTATAGCACGAATGGGTCGGCTCGACCGGGGAAGGGCCACGCTTTCATAGAATACTAGCGTAAAATAGCAGCTTGATGATACTGCGTTTCTTATGGTGAATGTAGAGAACCGGAGTCCATTTTTACTGGAAAAGATGCATTCTCTCTCATTTGCATGATGTAAGGATAAAGCCCAAAATTTAGTATTACTGACAGTTGGACGACGAAAAAAAACGACAACCACACATTAATGCTTTTTGTAGCTTCTTTTCTACCGATTTCAAAAAGGAGGCGATACTCAATTCGACTGTAACTTTTTTTATGTGTGTTACCTCATAACTTTCGTCTGGGGGAATTTCAATGATTTATTTGAAAATTGGTGTTTCTCATGTGGTCCCATATAAATTTCATCAAGGTCTGACTAATAGTTTTTGAGTTATTCTTAATAATATATATTGAAGTCGGTTGTACAAAATTTTTATTTTAAATTATGTTTTTTGATTTTTTTTCCATTAATACGTAATAATATATTTTAAAATATATCGAAATTGATAGGAGTTCGATACTCTAAAATAAATATCGATATTTCGATATTTTTTGCCAACCCTACTTGACATTGACAACTTATGACGCTTTTCTTTGCTTGATTCAAATTTCGTAGGAAATACAAATATTTCTAATCTGAAGCTGTAAAGGATGCTTATTTACTAAAACAAGTGCCAGCTAAACTGATGTCTATTACTGTTTTTTATTGGATTAAAAATTGTTCGCTAGAGAGAAAGTAATTATGGCGTCAGGTTTGGAGAATTATATAAATCAGACCGTGTCAGTAATCACATCTGACGGGCGTAACTTTATTGGCACACTAAAAGGGTTTGATCAAACGATTAATATTATATTGGATGAATCCCATGAAAGAGTGTTTTCTTCATCAACTGGTGTAGCACAAGTTGTTCTTGGTCTTCATATAATCCGAGGCGATAATGTGGCAATCGTCGGGCAAATCGACGAATCAATAGATAGCAGGCTGGACCTTGGTAATATTAAGGCAGAACCTCTAGGAGCTATTGTACATTAATGCATTTAGAAATTAAGGTGACAATAAAATAAGCTGTATTATATCTAAAACTTCATTTTATTTCATATTATTAAAATTTGTCTTAACCCTTTCTGGAGCCATGTTGCACTTCTGCAACACAGTATTCAAATTGACCTAAAAATATAGCAAATCCCGATAGATCCATGCTTCTCAATGTTGTACATCGGCAACAAAGCACTAAGGATTTAGTTACAAATCAGTTATCTAGATGTTGACAGTTGTATTTATTTTGTTTTGATGTGATGAGTGTGTACAAACCAGTTTCGCTCTCTTTGAATTCATTTACGAAAAGTGATTTATTGGTGAAATACTGATTTTTTGGCTATTGAAATTGATGTGAGTAAAAGGTAAGTGAATGGATTTTAATAAACAACAATTTTTTTTGCAAATTAAAATAATAATTTTATTTATGGACCAATTTTATTTTGTTGCATACATACAACATTGTGCATTTGTCATAGATTGTTATACCGTTTATTAGACTTAGAATATTTCTTTTTCAGTATCAAAATGAGTCACAAATTGTGTAAATTGATATTTAGGAGCTGGAAAATATGATGGGAGAGTGAGAAAACAGTGAAGATGATTTAGATTTTTCCTAAAATGACGATGTCACCGACCCTGCATATAACTCCCAGGCGAATGATTACGAAAGTTTTGATGAAGACCCACAGGAACCACCCGACTTTGATAAAGAAGTTTAGGCTGCCAGTACCCTAGCAACTACATCCATCAATACTCAGTTCAGTACTACTGCAATGGATCCAAGTCCAGCCATTGCATCTCCTGGTACCAGTTTTGCAGCTGCTAGAAGTACATCTAGTTGTGTGCATAGGACTAATATCATATTATGGAAAACGAATACTTTAAACTTAAATGATGACCAACTACATTTACATGGTTCTAACAGGTTACCCCCAGAAATACTTTGTTTGGATACTGCTTTTGAGGTATTTTCATATCTGTTTACTGAAGATATTATCAACCTTATAAGAGACCAGACTAATTTATACTCTGTACAAAAAGGTTTTGACGTGGCTTTAGTAACTCAGAAAGATATCAAAATTGTCACTTTATGCATCGATTTTGCAGGAAAACATCCAACCTCTGTAGTAAGAAGGTGGGAAAATGTATGGAAAGCAATACATTTCTGTTAAAGTCCTTTTGTTGTAGCAAAATATACTCGCCATATGGTGGTGTCTATCTATTACATTTGTGTTATGGGGCACTACAATATCAAACTCAGTACTAAATGTTGGTATCTATGACTTTTTATCATTTCTTAGACATGGTTTGGGTAATTCATGGCTTTTATACCAAAGAATAAATGCTGAAAAGTGTAGTACCAGTAAAACTCTCAACTGCTGAAATTAGAGTAGCTATAGCAGAGATAAGTATGTAAATAAGAAATCAACCCTACAAAGTGTTGCATATCTCATTCAGGATGAAAAGAGGAAAGGTTCAGTTCATGATGTTCCTAACAAACAACAAACTGGACCAATAAGGGCACTGGTCAATTTGGGTGGATAAACGAATGAGGTGCAAATTTCGAGGCTGAAAAGGGTATACACAAAAAAAACTGCAAAAATTTTTTTTAAAGGATAAGGGTGACAAACGAGCACACAGTCCACCTGATGGTAAGTGGTTGCTGTGGCCCACAGACATCTACATCTATCTTCGATTACGAATCAAAATGCAGATGCGTTATCACCCGTGAGGACTAAGATGGAATGCCTCGTTTCCAGTAGAAAGGGTCTCCGGTTCTCTACACTCGCCATACGAAACACAGCAGTGTTAAGCTGCTATTTTACTCTGGTATTCTGTGAGAGCGTGGTCTTTCCCCGGTCGAGCCGACCCATCCGTGCTACAACCATAATATAGCTGCAGCATGGCTCTACCACATATAAAATGTGGGGTTAGTTTGATATATATATATATATATATATATATATATATATATATAACTTCCTTTAATATTGTTTAGCATTATTGATGCAATGTTGCATTTTTGCAACAGATATTTTTTTTGGAATAATAAATACGTTTTTTGTAATGATATTTCAAATGTTATTTGGGGGATGAAGTTGCTCACGTCCGTAGGAATTACTTGAAACCTGAATCCCTACACCTATCCCCTGGGTAGTGCTAAACGAGCAGTACCACATACTGGTGGTAGGTTGGTCCTCTACTCGTGAGAGGTCCGGCCGAGGGTTAGTTACCACCCACCTGGCAAAGACATACTGCCAAATGATGCAAATCGTGTTCCGGTATGATGTTAGGTGAAACCCATTCCTTAGGGAGAATGGATATGCACAGTTGCGTTGCGTATACGAACCGGCTGAGACGCGGCCGTTTCTTAGTGTCAGGTGAATAGTTATGGGGGTTTGCGGGATCCGAAGCACGGTTGCACCGCTGGCCGACCGTGGATAGTTGGGGGCCCAATTAATGAGCCAGCCACTCATGAAAGGCTGCCCCGCCATCTTACGAAAAATCCTGGGATGACCACCATGCCGGTTGGCGACCGGAGGAGAGGGCCTGGTGACAATTTCCAGGGGGTTCAGGCGTCCCCGCGATCTCCATGCTAGGTACCAACGATGCTGTTACTTTGTTTGCGTCCCTAGGATATGTGTGACGCCTCGTCCAACTGCCATTCTCTCAACCTATTCACTCCCACTATTAATGAAAAAAAGGAAAAAGAAGAGTAAGTCTGTACAGCGGTTGCACTCCCTCTCCATCAAAGTGCACCTCACAAACATCCGAGGCCTGCACTGTAATCTCAATGCAGTCTATTACCACCTTTAGACGGACAAGCCGCACTTACTCTTCCTGACTGAGACGCAGATCAGATGTCCTCTATATGCGGCGTACCTTGGCTACCCTGCGTACACATTGGAGCATAATTTCCATCAGCGCGCCGGAGTCTGTGTTTACGTCCGCAACGACATCTGCTATAAGCGTCTCCGTCACCTTGAAGACCCCTCTTTTGGGTATTGATAGACACAGGAATGGATAAAATTATTTATTCTTGTGTCTACCGATCGCACAGCGGTGACCAGGAGACTACTAGGTTGTTTGAACACCTCAGTGAAGCCTCTGATGTGGCTCTAAATCGGTACCCTAATGCACAGTCGGTTTTTCTGGGGGACTTTGCCTGTCATCAGGACTGGCTGTTCCCATATCAAAAGACCGACCACGCTGGGAGAGAGGCGTGGAATTTTACCTTATAGCTGGGGCTCTCACAGCTGGTACAACAAGCGACTAGGGTACCTGATGTGAAAGGGTACACAGCCAATTGCCTCGACCTACTACTGACGACCGATCCAGACAGGCACGATGTTCAGGTTACCTCACACTTGGGAACTTCTGCCACTGTCTGGTGAAATCTGTGTCGCTATGTTCCCTACCTATGATTTCCACGGAGTGCGACGAATGTGGCGATACAAATCAGCAGGTTGGGATGAGATGCGGCATTTCTTTGCATCTTGTCCTTGGCGGCAGGTCTGCTACTCCTCTAAAGGCCCGTCGAGCTGCGCGGATGCCATAACTAATGTGATACGTCAAGCGATGGAGTATTTCATCCCCTTTGCCGACGTGCCCATTGGTGGTAAAGCTTGCCCATGGTTTAACGCGAGTGCGCTCGTGCTGAAAAGCACAAGCATATGGCGTACTTATCCTGGATCGATGCTCGAGAGCGTAAAGCTCCGGATGTTAGCCTTAAGAAGAGAGCCTTTATCCAAGCTGCCAAGTCCTGCATAAGGCATTACGCCAAGCCAGTTTCGACCGCATTAAACGCATCGGCACAAAGCTCTCTGTAAAACCATCTGGCAGTAGAGCTTTTTGGTCTTTCGCCAAAGCGGTCGAGTCAAACTTCTCTCGGTCTACACTGCCTCCGCTGGTAAAACCAGATGGCTCACTGGCGCATGCACCTAAGGAGAAAGCGGACTTATTTGCTTCTCTTTTTGCTTGCAATTCGCTTCTGGACAGTAGTAACAGCGTGCCATCTCAATTACCTTACTGCGGTACATCTATGACAGAGGTCCGTATCACCAACAAGGAGCCGGAGAGGAGAGGAGAGTATGCCAGCTATAGTTCTAAAAGCTTGTGCACCTGAGTTGTCTCCTATGTTGATACGCTTGTTCCGCCTCTCATTCAGGACTGGAATAGTGCCCAAATCTTGGAAGCTGGCCAATGTGCATCCTGTGCCTAAAAAAGGTAGCCGTATCGACTCTGCCAACTATCGGCCGATTTCAATTACCTCCATACTCTGCAAGATTATGGAGCGTATATTGAACGCCCACCTCATGGCATACCTAGAGCAAAATAATCTCCTCAGTGATCGCTAGTACGGGTTTCACCGAAATCGATCAACTGGGGACCTTCTAGCTTATGCCACTCACATATGGGGCGAAGCCCTTGAGAATGTGGTGAAGCACTTGCTGTTTCCCTCGATGTTTCGAAGGCCTTTGACAGGGTTTGGCACGCTAGTCTATTGGGCAAGCTTTCAGCGTACGGCTTATCCCCTGGCCTGATTGCCTGGGTGAAGGACTTTTTGAGTGAACGATCTCTCCGGGCCGTCGTTGATGGCTGCTCATCCGGTACTGTGGCGACTAACGCCGGTGTTCCTCAGGGGTCCATTCTCTCCGCAACTCTATCCCTGCTGCATATAAATGATCTACTCATTCCCGGTATCTATGGGTATTCAGACGACTGCACACTTGTGGAGAGATGCCAACCAAGTACCCGGGCCAGTCGGGATCAAATCCAGTCAGAAAGAGAGGCTTGGTTGAGCGTGTGAGTCTCACACTACAGGCAGTATCCGAATGGGGTGATGCCAATCTCGTGAGATTTAACGCCTCCAAAACACAAGCGTGTCTTTTTACTACTAAAAGGAGCCCGCTCACCTTGGCTTCTACTTTCCGGAATGTATCCTTGGAGTACACTGACCGCCTTCAGTTGTCAAAACCGCCGCAAGGAAACTT